TAGATAGATAGATAGATAGATAGATAGATAGATAGATAGATAGATAGATAGATAGATAGATAGATAGATAGATAGATAGATAGATAGATAGATAGATAGATAGATAGATAGATAGATAGATAGATAGATAGATAGATAGATAGATACCATGGACTGACTTTATTGGTCCATTTTTTCAGTTACAATAAACATGCATAATTAAATTAGATAGATACAATCATACACAACAGCCTCAAAGCCCAAAAAACAAAAGAAAACAAAATAAATAAACACATAAATAAATAAATGAATAAATAAGAGCCCATCCCCTCAAAAACTTAGAATAAGCACATCATCATCTATTCGACACAAAACATCCCCAACTCCCCAAATAGAAATAAACTCATTCAGGTCTGACACCATCTTATAATAAGCAAATTCAGTCCTGAGACGTGCAGCCACCAAACCTCTAAACATCAGCTCAGCTTCTGCAGAACCTGCCCCCTTCATTTTATTCCTCCTGCTCAACCAAATGCTCATTTTAGCCTGTCCCAACAAAAAATTAACCAAACAAATTTTTTCCTTTTGTGCTGCCGAGTATCTGGGCCCAAAAATAAACAATTCACTGTTCAAACTAATTCCTAATGCTCCCACTTTAAAAGAGAAAACAGAGGACCTATTCTGGCACATCCTATCCACAGGTGTTCTAGTGTCTCCTCCGTCTGACAGAATGCGCATTGACTCCCTGCCCTGTGATCAATACGTGCCACGTGTCTGTTTGTGGCCACGGCCCCGTGTACAATCCTCCACTGGACATCTGCAGCGCGTTTCTCCAGGGGGGTTTTGTACAGGGACCTCCAGCTGCCCCTGGGAGATGAACCCGGCGCCAACACACCCGACCACCTCGACTCCTTGACCCCTACCAGCATCGCTCTGTTCTGGACTTTCACTGATACCTCATATAGGCTTCTCTTTGGTGCTTCAGAGAAGTTCCTCAGTTCTGGTGTTCTGAATGACAGCAGGAGCCCGTCTGCTTCCTCCTGTTCCACCACTGCAGCACCAATAGACAGCTTTGGAAACTCCTCCAGATGCTCCTCTGTCTCTAGTGCCCTCCTGAAGGATCCGGGAAGTCCACTTATCACCTCCTGCACCAGTCTGTCCATGAGGCGTAAGGATTTAGTCCCTGTTTCCTCACATATCTTCGCAGCACTCTTCCATTGACCATCTGCCCTCAGTCCTGCCAGCTTTGTCAGCCCCGCTGCTGTGAACATCCTCTGGATACTCTTAGAGGCCAGAATTCTGCTTCTTATGGCTGGGTTATGGAACAAAGGTTCATCGCCTATTGTCCCATACACCTGAGTGCAGTCCCTTTTACTTTTTAAAACTGTTCTCCAGTCATCCAACACTGACTGATAAAATCTGGAAGTTTGTGTAATGTCCAATACCTCCAGGTCCAATAGAAAGAGATGCTTATCGTAGTGTAGGTTTCCAATTCTTTGCAGCAGCAAGGATGCCGTTTCAGTCCAGGGCTGCTGTGATTTGTACAAGTATCTCTGTGCCGTCTGGAGTCGAAGCGCAGTTATGCGGCTCCTGAGGTCAATCAGCCCTTGACCCCCTTCCGCCACAGGTAGAAACAGCACAGCTGATCTAATCCAATGATAGCCATCCCATAAAAAGTCCACCAGAGTCTTCTGTATCTGTTCTAATATTTTGTTCGGGGGAACTAGAACGGTGGCCCGATGCCAAAGCATGGATGCAGCTAGACTGTTAGCAACCAAAGTCCTCCCCCTGTATGACAGCTGGGGCTGGACCCATTTCCATCTAGACAATCGGGCACCTATTTTCTCACCTATGCCCTCCCAGTTCTTTAACTGAAAGTCACCCTTCCCTAGATATACACCTAGCACCTTCATCCCCTCTGTGCTCCACTGCAGCCCGGCTGGTAAGGTCGGTCTCACTTTATTGTTCCACCCTCCCAGTAAGAGACCCTCACACTTCGACCAGTTAACCTTTGCTGAAGAAGCTTGCTCGTATAGTTTTAGCTTTTGTTCCAGAGTCCTAACATCTTTTTGGCAACCTATAAAAACTGTGACGTCATCAGCATATGCTGACAACCTAACCGAAGCATTTGTTTTGTCTGCTAATTTTAAACCTAATATATTATTCCTGAGGTGATGCAATAAGGGCTCAATAGCCAAAGCATAGAGCATCCCAGAAAGAGGACATCCCTGCCTGATCCCTCTCTGTACAGAAACCGGTCTGCTAAGTCCCCCTCCTACCTTCAATAATACAGTGACCCTTGAATACAACAACTCAATACATGAAATAAAAAACGTACCAAAACCAAAAGCTTTAAGTGTTTTAAACAAGTATTTGTGATCAATTCTATCAAATGCCTTTTCTTGGTCCAGAGAAAGCAGGCCTATATCTAATTCCTGGAATTTTGACAGATCTATGATGTCTCTGAGTAAAAACAAATTGTCCATTATTGTCCTGTCAGGGACACAGTATGTCTGGCTGTCGTCTACAATTGAGTCCAAATATTTTTTAAGTCTATTCGCCAGTACTTTGGCTAGAATTTTATAGTCAGTGCAGAGTAGTGATACTGGTCGCCAGTTCTGTAGTAGTCCCAAATCTCCTTTCTTTGGCAGTAACGTCAGTACTGCCCTCCTACAGCTCGTTGGTAACGTCCCAGAGTCCAAACATCCTTCGAAAACGTCCATTAGATCGTTTCCAATTAGGTTCCAGAATGTCTTATAAAATTCCGCTGGAAGCCCATCGACACCAGGCGCCCGCCCACAGCTGAGCTGGCTCACCGCTGTAGACAGCTCTTCAAACTGCACCTTGGACTCCAGGAAGGCTGCCGACGCCTCCCCTAAACGAGGGAGTCCCTCCTGTATCTCCTCCACACGATCTGGGTCACACTCATCCGCTTTAAACAAGCTGCTGTAGAAATCTATGGCCAGCCTCCTCATCTCAGATGGGTCCCTGGTCACCGACACATTGGAGCTCTTAAGGTGCATCATCTGATTATGTTGCCTGACCTTTCTTTCCAACTTAAAAAAGAATCTAGTAGGTGAATCTATGTCTTTAATAGATAGTATTCTAGATTTTATTAAAGCTCCTTTAGCTTGTTTTTCATGTAAAAACCTGCTTAATGATGCCCTCTTCTTCTCCCAAGTCTTATTATCATCATTATTTATCTCCACCCCATTAGTTATGTCTTCTTCCAATACATGAAGTTCCCTTTCCAATAACTCAACCTGATCCCTTACTATTGCTTCTGTGTGCGATGTGTATTGCTGACAAAAAATTCTAATCTGTGTTTTCCCCACCTCCCACCATTGACCTATGCTTTCAAACCCCAACTTTCTGCTTCTCCATTCACCCCAGAAATCGGTGAAAGACTGACAGAAAGTCTTATCATGGATTAGTCTTACGTTAAAATGCCAATAGGGGGATCTTTGAGGAGGCACCATTAAAGAAAAATGAACAGTTAATAAGTGATGGTCTGAAAAACCAACTGGTGATATCATGGCTTCAGTCAGCCTATTGCTGCATGTGTTACTGACATAAATCCTGTCCAGTCTGGCTGCACTAACCCGGCCCTCAGTGACTTTTACCCAGGTATACTGTCTGGTATTTGGATGGATTGTCCTCCAAACATCTACCAAACTGTTCTCTTTAAGGATTTTTGCTAATAAAGAAGCTGATGATGGGCTGGGCTCTCTCCCATTCCTGTCCAATGAATAATTGGTAGTGCAGTTCCAGTCTCCTGCCTAAACTACAACCGAGCTGCTGCTAAACTGTTTTAATGCTTCATTAAGTTTTTGTAAGAGGCTGATCCGACTACCAGCAAAGGTGTAAGCGTACACATTAACAAACACAAAAGGTGTTTCTTTTATTGTAGCCTGCACCACCTGTATATGCCCCACTTCTATCTCAGAAACTGTTACCTGTGATAGAACAATGTGTTTCGCAAACAAAATGCCTACACCTGCACTCAGATTAGAGCCGTGGCTAGGAAACCACGACCCCCCCACCCTAATTCCCAATCTGTATTGTCTGCTAGAGTGGTATGTGTTTCCTGTAGGAATAACACATCAATAGTAGATAGATAGATAGATGATAGATAGATAGATAGATAGATAGATAGATAGATAGATAGATAGATAGATAGATAGATAGATAGATAGATAGATAGATAGATAGATAGATAGATGATAGATAGATAGATAGATAGATAGATAGATAGATAGATAGATAGATAGATAGATGATAGATAGATAGATAGATAGATAGATAGATAGATAGATAGATAGATAGATGATAGATAGATAGATAGATAGATAGATAGATAGATAGATAGATAGATAGATAGATAGATAGATAGATAGATAGATAGATAGATAGATAGATAGATAGATAGATAGATAGATAGATAGATAGATAGATAGATGATAGATAGATAGATAGATAGATAGATAGATAGATAGATAGATAGATAGATAGATAGATAGATAGATAGATAGATAGATAGATGATAGATAGATAGATAGATGATAGATAGATAGATAGATAGATAGATAGATAGATAGATAGATAGATAGATAGATAGATAGATAGATAGATAGATAGATAGATAGATAGATAGATAGATAGATAGATAGATAGATAGATAGATAGATAGATAGATAGATAGATAGATAGCTGTGGCTACAATGTAGCTTGCCACTATCAGTGTGTGTGAGTTAATGGGTGAATGAATGTAGTGTAAAACGCTTTAGCCAAGTCTCCTGACTTGACTAAAGGTGCTATATAAGTACAGGACATTTACCATAGATAGATAGATAGATAGATAGATAGATAGATAGATAGATAGATAGATAGATAGATAGATAGATAGATAGATAGATAGATAGATAGATAGATAGATAGATAGATAGATAGATAGATAGATAGATAGATAGATAGATAGATAGATAGTAGATACAGACCAGTTAGACCAGTGCGCCACCTGCTGGCTGGAGAGGTTAAAGTTGTATTTATCACCTTTATTGGAAGAATGTTGAGGGAGAAAGGTTTTCTATTTCAGGTTTACTCATGCATACAAAAAGGATTCACTGAAATACGTTTGACTTGGTTTAAAATATGACAACATAGAAAGTGGAGTCAGAAAACAGTTTGGCTGCAGTGCTTTGCTGCTGTTTGTGCTGAGCAGGCTGCACGGATCTACACAAATATATAGATATATGTGTATGTGTGTATTATTTGTACAGTATGATACAGAGTAAACACCTCTTCTTTTAGGCAAGTTCCAGCTAATTTGCCTTTGTAGCTACATGATAGATGCTAAGCTCACTTATGGTTCCAACAGTATTCCGCTACAGACGGGTATCTGTACAGAGAAGATGCATCGTTTATAAACCACTGAGTTTAAAATCTTTGTAAAACAATGATGGGTGCATTTGGATAAGACTGAACGCTATGCAAGGTCAATGGTTTTGGCTGGTGTAGCACCACTTTCAAGTATACAGAGTATTTACAATGCAGGGAAGTAAACATTGGTTTCACAGCTGGGAAAGGATTCTGTCTGCATGGGAAACAGCACTCTATAAAAAAGGTTTCCTCAGGAGTGACCACGCAAAAAACACAGTGATTATTTCACCAACACAGAAACGCTTGTGCTTTTGTGTAAACGTGTAGAAGAAGAACCATGCTACATAGAAAAGCTGTTTGGAACACGAAGCTCCACCTGTCCCGCCTTCTTCCCGCTCAGGTGGGCTTTATTCCTTGAAGGTGGGGGTCATGGAGGTCCCCTTGTAGAAAACGTTCCTGGCATTATCCGGGCTGTCGGCTCTCTCCGGGATCAGGATGATATTATTGCTTTTTCTTCGCAGAGTCGACTCGCGACTGGAAGCTACTGAGGGGATTTCTGAGGCGTTCTCTCTAACGCCTCCTGCAGTTCCAGAGCTGCAGCCGTCTCCTGGAGTGACCCGAATGGTGGAGAGGCCCTGGTGGTGGAGCCTCTGCTCTGCCTGGCCAGTGGTCGCCATGGATGAGGTGGTGGCGATGACGTTATTGCCATGTTTGGGGTCAACAGACCCGTCGCGTATGGAGTCGGAACTCTCCGAGTCCACGTTCTGATCGTTGTGCTCTGCGGTGTGCCTCCCAGGACCCGATCCACTGCCGACACCCCCGCTCCCTGAACTCCCGCCTCCTCCATGATCCAGTGACCTCCACCTCCAGGAGCCGCTCCCGTCTGTGGACGGAGCCTGGATGACGGGCCGGGTGTTCTCAGGGTGGGCCTCTACCCTGACGATAGCCCCGGTGCTTCCAGAAATGCTGCCTGCAGTGCTGCCCAGTGAGCCGGGCCCAGTGGTGCTGCCAGGGTCGTGGTTGGTGAGTCCCCTGTGACGGGCGCCGACTTGGGCGCCTCCACTGTCGTTGAACCCCATGCTGCTGTCGTCTAAGCTCTTGGAATGGGTCTGCAGCAGACCCTGCTGCTTGGACATGGCGATCACCTGCAGGATCCTGGGCTGGCCGCTCTGGATGCTGCCCGTCTTCTCCGCCGCTCTTTGCCAGTTAGCCTGAACTGAAGTGCCGACATTCATGTCGCCGCCTCCCCCCAGTGTCCTTTGGGAGGCCGGGTTGTAGTTCTCGTGAGCCTCCTCCGGTATGTGCACCAGCTGTGAAGAGCCGGGCCTAGATTGCATGGGTATCCGGGCCCCTCCGGTGATCCCACTGCAGTTACTGGGGAGAGTGGAGCTGATTCCAGGAGGAAGCTTCGCCATATACGCACTGGCATCAAAGCCCCCGTTTAGGCCCACAGTGGCCGGCTCAGAGCTGGAGCGCAGCTCGCTGCTGCCGTGGTGAGGGAGGTGGGAGGCGTGGCCGGAGGACGAGTCGACGGAGGAGGAGAAGGAGTCCGGGGAGCATTTATGGTTGGTGTTCTTGCTTTTCCACTGGGACAGCAGCTGCTTAGAGCGGCTGGAGTCCATGGAGGCGTGGTGGAGGGTGGCGGCGTGGCGCCTGGCGGCCTCTTCGTACGCGGCAATGGCCTGAGGGGTATGAACCCGAGGCAGTGTGTGGCTGAACGTCATGGCGGCGTCTTTGCTCTGCGCGCCGCAGGGCGACAGTGCCTCCATGGAGCGCTGGAGGCCGTCTTCAGGCCGCTGCACCTGGAGGCCTCGGTGAAGGACGCTCTCAGAGTGGGAGGCGGGGAGGCCGACCTCCGCGCTCATTGCTTTCATCTGCAGGTGATGGAGGACGGCCTCCTGACTGACGTGTGGCAGCGAGCAGGACGGGTGGTGCACCAGGACAGGAGGGCTGCTGCCGGCGTCCTCACTGGACTGAAAGTTTCCCACTGCATAGACACCCTGGAAACACACCAAACAGCTGCTGAGTGAAAATCAGGCTTTTATAACACCACAAGCTTTTTTTGAATCCCTGAAGCCCGAAATCGAGTAAAACAGACGAAAATGGAGCTAAAGTTGCAGCATTTTCTCTGTTGAACTGTGGAACAGCGCCCCCCTCAGGTTAGGAGAGGCTTCCTGCTGTTTGCTGCATTTTTAACCTTCCTGCCTGTTTAGCCGTTTAAATGGGCCTCTTAAAGCAAGCTGTTTTTCAGTGTTTAGTCCTGTTTCTCTCATAAAGCTATGGATTCAGCTTCTACTGGGACCAACTGGATGTTTTCTCTCTCATCTTCTGACATGAAAACTGGCTCAGAGCTCGTCTGATCAACTGTTTCTCTCCCAGTTTGATCCGCCTGTGGAGCTAGTTCACTGTTAGCTTTTCTAGCATGGAAAGTGTTTTTAGATCTGAGCTTATATGTTCCTCTCTATCTCTGCTTCTTTTTCTATGTCTGCTTCAGTCTCCTTGAACCCCAGTGGGCCTCAGCAGATGGCCGCTCACACTGAGCCTGGTTCTGCTGGAGGTTTCTTCCTGTTCAAAGGGAGTTTTTCCTCTCTACTGTCGCTACAAGCATGCTTAGTGTGAGGGATTGCTGAAGAGTCAATGAGTCGATGCAATCAGCTGGTTTTCCTTAGATAGAAACCTGAAGCAATGAGGTAAACAATAAAGATTCCTGATTCCATGTTTATCTGTTACGTCTCCTCTACCTCAGAAACATTCTTAAATGCTGCGTTCAAAACCAAAAGCGTTTTGTGTGTCAAATACACGCAAACGCAGAGATCTGGATGTTGCATCAGACGTAAGTTGAGTTACTTTGACGCTTCGATGTTCTGGCTGCTCCGTGCACTGGAAACTCTGAGCGCTGGACGCTCGGTGCCCTGGCTCCTCGGTGCGCTGGAGGCTCGGCGTGCTGGACGCTCTGCGTTCTGGCTGCTCCGTGAACTGGACGCCCTGTGCACTGGATGCTCGGCATTTTGGCTGCACAATGCATTTGACGCTCAGCGCGCTGGACACTCGCCATTCTGGCTTCCCGGTGCACTGGCTGCTGGATGCTTGGCGCCCCGGCTGCTCGATGGACTTGACGCCCTTTATTCAGCTGCTCGCTGCACTGGACGCCCTGCATTCTGGCTGCTCGGTGCAGTCGATACTAGGTGCACTGGATGCTCAGCGTTCTGGCTGCTTGGTGCACTGGACGCTTGTGGAACTAGATGGTCAGCGCTCTGGTTTCCCCGTGCACTGGACGCTCAGCGTTCTGGCCGTTCAGTGCACCGGACGCTTGGCGTTCTGGCTACTCGGTGCAATTGGACACATGGCTCACTGGACATTCAATGTTCTGGCTGATCGGTGCACTGGACCTCGGCGCATTGGACGCTCAAACACTTAGATGCTCCAACAGCAGCATGCTCGGACATGCCATTAGATGTCTGTATGGTTAGACATTGACTGTAACTCAGAAGCTAGGATGGCCAGATCGTGCTGGGCGTGAACACCCCACAGGAGAGGTGCTGTCGCCGGGCTCTTACCAGGTAAACAGCAATAGACCCTCCGATCAGGAAGCCCAAGTAGACGTCCACCGAATGGTTCTTATACTGGATGATCCGGGTCAGGCCGCAGACAATGGCGCTCATGATGAAGGAGAAGACCAGCAGAGGCTTCAGCAGCTTGGACGAGTCTGTTAGAGTGCTGTTGAAGTACATCTGTCCACATAGAAACAGAACAAACAGAGTCCACTGTTGGTGATCATCCAGTCTTTACAGCTCTACGTCTGCTGCAGCATTGGTTACCGCTCTGAATCCATCCCTTTCAACCCAACAGGACAGCGTGGAAAAGCAGGGGGGATTAGTGCCACAGGTGGACCAACAAAGCCCCAAGCAAAGCTCAGAGACGGTTCTCTATCCTGAATCCGCCCAAACCATCCACTTCCTGTTGAGTTCAGAGGTAAGGTTGGTAAGGCCGTTAGGAAACAGCTCTACTACCAACCCTGGAATCATATCAATGATCCCACAGGACCACTAAATCTATCCACAAATCTAAGGAGGCGCCCCACACACAGCAGATAGTGGCAGCTCAGTTACTTACAGATACGTAGACGGCGGCGAAGGAGGCCAGCGTGGCGTGCTGGGATGGGAAGGACTTCCTGGAACAGAGCAGAGGCAGAGGGTCATGTTCCAGAAGGCTCACAGCGTGTAGCAGCCGGTCTGATTCAGTCCGATGGTGAAAGGAACCAGAACCTGACTGAGCTGCATCTAGGTGACCCAGTTCTACATCAGAACCAGGTCCTGAAAAGGTCTTGGTTGGTTCTGATTGGATCTGTTGTTTGTTTCACTCTGGTTCTGATTGGGTCTGTTGTTTGGTTCTGCTGGTTCTGATTGGGTCTGTTGTTTGGTTCTGCTGGTTGTGTCTGTTTCTGATCGGTTCTGTTGTTTGGTTCTGCTGGTTCTGATTGGTTCTTATTGGTTCTGTTGGTTGGTTCTGTCTGGTTCTGATTGGAACTGTTGTTTGTTTCACTCTGGTTCTGATTGGGTCTGTTGTTTGGTTCTGCTGGTTCTGTCTGATTCTTATTGGTTCTGTTGGTTGGTTCTGTCTGGTTCTGATTGGTTCTGCTTGGTTTTGTCTGGTTCTGTTTTCAGGTTCGATTGGTTCTGTTGTTTGGTTCTGCTGCTTCTGTCTGATTCTTATTGGTTCTGTTGGTTGGTTCTGTCTGGTTCTGATTGGCTCTGTCTGGTTCTGATTGGTTCTGTTGTTTGGTTCTGTCTGGATCTGATTGGCTCTGTCTGGTTCTGATTGGTTCTGTTGTTTGGCTCTGTCTGGACCTGCTGGTTCTGATTGGTTCTGTTGTTTGGTTCTGTCTGGATCTGATTGGCTCTGTTGTTTGGCTCTGTCTGGACCTGCTGGTTCTTATTGGTTCTGTTGGTTGGTTCTGTCTGGTTCTGATAGGCTCTGTCTGGTTCTGATTGGTTCTGTTGTTTGGTTCTGTCTGGATCTGATTGGCTCTGTCTGGTTCTGATTGGTTCTGTTGTTTGGCTCTGTCTGGACCTGCTGGTTCTGATTGGTTCTGTTGTTTGGTTCTGTCTGGATCTGATTGGCTCTGTCTGGTTCTGATTGGTTCTGTTGTTTGGCTCTGTCTGGACCTGCTGGTTCTGATTGCTTCTGTTTGTTTGGTTCTGTTGGTTTTGCTGGTTCGGATAGGTTCTGTCAGGTTATATTGGGTTCTGTCTGGTTCTGGTTGGTTCAGTCCAGTTTTGGTTGGCTTTGTATTGTTCTGATTGCTTCAGGTTTTTGGCTCTGCTGGTTCTGATTGGTTCTGTTGGTTCTATCTGGTTGTGATTGGTTCTGTTGTTTGGTTCTGTTGGACGTCTGGTTCTGATTGGTGCTTTTGTTTGTTTCATTCTGGTTCTGATGGTGTCTGTTTTTGGTTCTGCTGGTTCTGATGGGTTTTGTTGCTTGGTTCTGCTGGTTCTGATTGGTTCTGTTGTTTGGTTCTGTTGGACGTCTGGTTCTGATTGGTGTTTTGTTTGTTTCATTCTGGTTCTGATGGTGTCTGTTTTTGGTTCTGCTGGTTCTGAAGGGTTTTGTTGCTTGGTTCTGCTGGTTCTGATTGGTTCTGTTGTTTGGTTCTGATTGGTTCTGTTGGTTCTGTCTGGTTCTGATTGATTCTGTTGGATCTATTGTGTTATATCCGGTTCTGTGTGGGTGTGTTTGATTGGTTGTCTTCGGATCTAATTGATTCTTCTGGTTCTGTCTGGTTCTATTTGCTTGGTTCTGCTGGTTCTGTCTGGTTCTGATTGGTACTGTTGTTTGGTTCTGTCTGGTTATGACTGGTTCTGATTGGATCTGTCAAGTTCTGCTGGTTCAGTCTGGTTCTCATTGCTTCAGTTGTTTGGTTCTGTCTGGTTTTGATTTGTTCTGCCAGGTTCTTTTGGGTTTTGTCTGGTCGATTTAGTCCAGTTCTGGTTGGTTTTGATAGGTTCTGTCTGGTTTATACTAGTTATGATTGATACTGTCAAGTTCTTTGGATTGTTTTTTGTTTTTGTTTGGTTCTGCTGGTTCTGATTGGTTCTGTTGTTTGGTTCTGCTGGTTCTGTCTGGTTCTGACTAGTTCTGATTGGTTCTGCTTGGTTTTGTCTGGTTCTGTTGTCAGGTTCTGATTGGTTCTGTTGTTTGGTTCTACTGCTTCTGTCTGGTTCTTATTGGTTCTGTTGTTTGGTTCTGTCTGGTTCGGATTTGCTCTGTCTGGTTCTGTCTGGTTCTGACATGTTCTTTTGTTTGGTTCTGTCTGGATCTGCTAGTTCTGATTGCTTCTGTTTGTTTAGTTCTGTTGGGTTTGCTGGTTCGGATTGGTTCTGCTTGGTTTTGTCTGGTTGTGTTGTCAGGTTCTGATTTATTCTATTGTTTGGTTCTGCTGCTTCTGTCTGATTCTTATTGGTTCTGTTGGTTGGTTCTGTCTAGTTCTGATAGGCTCTGTCTGGTTCTGATTGGTTCTGTTGTTTGGTTCTGTCTGGATCTGATTGGCTCTGTCTGGTTCTGATTGGTCCTGTTGTTTGGCTCTGTCTGGACCTGCTGGTTCTGATTGCTTCTGTTTGTTTGGTTCTGTTGGTTTTGCTGGTTCGGATAGGTTCTGTCAGGTTATATTCGGTTCTGTCTGGTTCTGGTTGGTTCAGTCCAGTTTTGGTTGGCTTTGTATTGTTCTGATTGCTTCAGGTTTTTGGCTCTGCTGGTTCTCATTGGTTCTGTTGGTTCTATCTGGTTGTGATTGGTTCTGTTGTTTGGTTCTGTTGGATGTCTGGTTCTGATTGGTGCTTTTGTTTGTTTCATTCTGGTTCTGATTGGGTCTGTTTTTGGTTCTGCTGGTTCTGAAGGGTTTTGTTGCTTGGTTCTGCTGGTTCTGATTTGTTCTGTTGTTTGGTTCTGTCAGGTTTTATTGGGTTCTGTCTGGTTCTGGTTGGTTCAGTCCAGTTCTGGTTGGCTTTGTCTTGTTCTGATTGCTTCAGGTCTTTTGTTCTACTGGTTCTGATTGGTTCTGTTGGTTCTGTCTGGTTCTGATTGATTCTGTTGGATCTATTGTGTTATATCCGTTTCTGTGTGGGTGTGTTTGATTGGTTGTCTTCGGATCTAATTGATTCTTCTGGTTCTGTCTGGTTCTATTTGCTTGGTGCTGCTGGTTCAGTCTGGTTCTGATTGGTTCTGTTGTTTTTTTCATTCTGGTTGTGATTGGGTCTGTTTTTTGGTTCTGCTGGTTCTGATTGGTTCTGTTATTTGGTTGTGCTGGTTCTGATTGGTTCTGTTGGTTGGTTCTGCTGGTTGTGTCTGGTTCTGTTGGTTGGTTCTGCTGGTTCTGTCTGGTTCTGATTGGTTCAGTTGTTTGGTTCTGTTGGTTCTGATTGGTTCTGTTGTTTTGTTCTGCTGGTTGTGTCTGGTTCTGATTGGTTCTGTCAAGTTCCGTTGGTTCTGTATGGTTCTGATTGCCCCAGTTGTTTGGTTCTGCTGGTTCTGTCTGGTTTTGATTTGTTCTGCCAGGTTCTTCTGGGTTCTGTCTGGTTGGTTTAGTCCAGTTCTAGTTGGTTTTGATAGGTTCTGTCTGGTTTATACTAGTTACGATTGATTCTGTCAAGTTCTTTGGATTGTTTTTTTTTTTTTTTTGTTTGGTTCTGCTGGTTCTGATTGGTTCTGTTGTTTGGTTCTGCTTGTTCTGTCTGGTTTTGATTGGTTCTGTCCAGTTCTGGTTGGTTTTGTCTTTTTCTGATTGGTTCAGTTGTTTGGTTCTGCTGGTTCTGATTGGTTCTACTGGTTTTGTCTGGTTCTGATTGGTTCTGTTGGATCTATCGTGTTATATCGATGGTGTGGGTCTGTTTGATTGGTACTCTCTGGTTCTTTTGTTTAGTTTTGCTGGCTCTGTCTGGTTCTGATTGGTTCTGTTGTTTGGTTCTGATTGGTTCTGTTGGTTCTGTCTGGTTCTGATTGATTCTGTTGGATCTATTGTGTTATATCCGGTTCTGTGTGGGTGTGTTTGATTGGTTGTCTTCGGATCTAATTGATTCTTCTGGTTCTGTCTGGTTCTATTTGCTTGGTTCTGCTGGTTCTGTCTGGTTCTGATTGGTACTGTTGTTTGGTTCTGTCTGGTTATGACTGGTTCTGATTGGATCTGTCAAGTTCTGCTGGTTCAGTCTGGTTCTCATTGCTTCAGTTGTTTGGTTCTGTCTGGTTTTGATTTGTTCTGCCAGGTTCTTTTGGGTTTTGTCTGGTCGATTTAGTCCAGTTCTGGTTGGTTTTGATAGGTTCTGTCTGGTTTATACTAGTTATGATTGATACTGTCAAGTTCTTTGGATTGTTTTTTGTTTTTGTTTGGTTCTGCTGGTTCTGATTGGTTCTGTTGTTTGGTTCTGCTGGTTCTGTCTGGTTCTGACTAGTTCTGATTGGTTCTGCTTGGTTTTGTCTGGTTCTGTTGTCAGGTTCTGATTGGTTCTGTTGTTTGGTTCTGCTGCTTCTGTCTGGTTCTTATTGGTTCTGTTGTTTGGTTCTGTCTGGTTCGGATTTGCTCTGTCTGGTTCTGTCTGGTTCTGACATGTTCTTTTGTTTGGTTCTGTCTGGATCTGCTAGTTCTGATTGCTTCTGTTTGTTTAGTTCTGTTGGGTTTGCTGGTTCGGATTGGTTCTGCTTGGTTTTGTCTGGTTCTGTTGCCAGGTTCTGATTTATTCTATTGTTTGGTTCTGCTGCTTCTGTCTGATTCTTATTGGTTCTGTTGGTTGGTTCTGTCTAGTTCTGATAGGCTCTGTCTGGTTCTGATTGGTTCTGTTGTTTGGTTCTGTCTGGATCTGATTGGCTCTGTCTGGTTCTGATTGGTCCTGTTGTTTGGCTCTGTCTGGACCTGCTGGTTCTGATTGCTTCTGTTTGTTTGGTTCTGTTGGTTTTGCTGGTTCGGATAGGTTCTGTCAGGTTATATTCGGTTCTGTCTGGTTCTGGTTGGTTCAGTCCAGTTTTGGTTGGCTTTGTATTGTTCTGATTGCTTCAGGTTTTTGGCTCTGCTGGTTCTCATTGGTTCTGTTGGTTCTATCTGGTTGTGATTGGTTCTGTTGTTTGGTTCTGTTGGATGTCTGGTTCTGATTGGTGCTTTTGTTTGTTTCATTCTGGTTCTGATTGGGTCTGTTTTTGGTTCTGCTGGTTCTGATTTGTTCTGTTGTTTGGTTCTGTCAGGTTTTATTGGGTTCTGTCTGGTTCTGGTTGGTTCAGTCCAGTTCTGGTTGGCTTTGTCTTGTTCTGATTGCTTCAGGTCTTTTGTTCTACTGGTTCTGATTGGTTCTGTTGGTTCTGTCTGGTTCTGATTGATTCTGTTGGATCTATTGTGTTATATCCGTTTCTGTGTGGGTGTGTTTGATTGGTTGTCTTCGGATCTAATTGATTCTTCTGGTTCTGTCTGGTTCTATTTGCTTGGTGCTGCTGGTTCAGTCTGGTTCTGATTGGTTCTGTTGTTTTTTTCATTCTGGTTGTGATTGGGTCTGTTTTTTGGTTCTGCTGGTTCTGATTGGTTCTGTTATTTGGTTGTGCTGGTTCTGATTGGTTCTGTTGGTTGGTTCTGCTGGTTGTGTCTGGTTCTGTTGGTTGGTTCTGCTGGTTCTGTCTGGTTCTGATTGGTTCAGTTGTTTGGTTCTGTTGGTTCTGATTGGTTCTGTTGTTTTGTTCTGCTGGTTGTGTCTGGTTCTGATTGGTTCTGTCAAGTTCCGTTGGTTCTGTATGGTTCTGATTGCCCCAGTTGTTTGGTTCTGCTGGTTCTGTCTGGTTTTGATTTGTTCTGCCAGGTTCTTCTGGGTTCTGTCTGGTTGGTTTAGTCCAGTTCTAGTTGGCTTTGATAGGTTCTGTCTGGTTTATACTAGTTACGATTGATTCTGTCAAGTTCTTTGGATTGTTTTTTTTTGTTTGTTTGGTTCTGCTGGTTCTGATTGGTTCTGTTGTTTGGTTCTGCTTGTTCTGTCTGGTTTTGATTGGTTCTGTCCAGTTCTGGTTGGTTTTGTCTTTTTCTGATTGGTTCAGTTGTTTGGTTCTGCTGGTTCTGATTGGTTCTACTGGTTTTGTCTGGTTCTGATTGGTTCTGTTGGATCTATCGTGTTATATCGATAGTGTGGGTCTGTTTGATTGGTACTCTCTGGTTCTTTTGTTTAGTTTTGCTGGCTCTGTCTGGTTCTGATTGGTTCTGTTATTTGGACCTGTGGGTTCTGTCTGGTTCTAATTGGTTCAGTCGTTTGGTATTGCTGGTTCTGGTTGGTACTGTTGTTTGGTTCTGCTGGTTCTGTCTGGTTCTTATCGGTTCTGTTGGTTGGTTCTGCTGGTCCTGATTGGTTCTGTATGTTTGGTTATGTTTGGTTCTGGTTGGTTATGCTTGTTTGGTTCTGATTAGTTCTGTTTGTTTGGTTCCAGTTGGTTCTGTTTATTTGGTTCTGATTAGTTATGTTTGTCTGGTTCTGATTAGTTCTGTTTGTTTCGTTCTGTCAGGTTCTGATTGGTTCTGTTTGTTTGGTTTTACTGGTTGTCCCCGGTTCTGATTGGTTTGGTCTGGTTCTCTCAGGTTCTGATTGGATCGTTGTGGGTCTGTCTGGTTCTGAGGTGTTCCTAAAGGTTCTGATTGGTTCTGTTTGGTTCTGTTTTTTTCTGAATGGTTTTGTCAGGTTATTTTTGGTTCTGGTTTGTTCTGTCCGGTTCTGGTTGGTTCTCTGTAGTTCAGATCAGTTCTTTAAGATTCTGATTAAATATGTTTGGTTCTGTCTGGTTCTATTTGGTTCTGTCTAGTTCTGTTTGGTTCTGTCTGGTTCTATTTGGCTCTGTCTAGTTCTGTTTGGTTCTATCTGGTTCTGTTTGGTTATGTCTGGTTCCAATTGGTTCTCAGGCTGTCTCTGAATCTCCACTCTAATCACTATATAGTGGTTACTTCATTTTAAAACAGTCTAAACGTCTAGTGGATGAAAAAGTAGCGGACTCCAAATTTCCCACAATGCACCTTGAAAAGTAGTGATCATCCATTAGCTGATGGTCTCACCTCCCCTGGTTGATGGCTGCAGGGTCGCCTCCAGAGCAGATGTCCTCAATCACATAGGGGTTCTTGTCACAGCTGACGTTGAGTGTGGTGTAGTTGGGTTTGCACACGGTGAGGAAGTACGGCGCCGGGTAGCCCGTCATCAGCTGCAGGACATCCGTGATGAGGGCCGTGGCACAAAGGCCGAAGGCATGGACCCCTGAGGACCAAAGGTCAGAGGTGAGACAGAAGGACCAACCCTGCTGGATCCCAAACGGCGGCAGTTAGGACGGCGGACGTACCGACGAAGCGGATGGCTCTGCGGATGAATGAGTTGAAGTTGCAGCCGGCTGCATTGATGTTGGCCTCGGTTGCTCCACCGCTCTTCGTCCGAGTGAGGCAGCAGAACAAGACAGCCTCCCCGATCATGATCTGTGAAAACAAGCTTTCATCAGGATGCTCTGCAGAGGTAACTGATGGGGTCTAACAATGACTGCCTGCTACTTCCGATAAATAGAGCAAACCTCGGTTTCCTTGAGAAACAGACTCATATCCATTGACTGTGCAGCAATCCCTCCTAAACACAGAGACCTCCAGCAGAACCCAGGTCAGAGTTCTCTAAAAGGCCCAACAGAGACACCAGCAGTATTTGAGTGTTTAGAAGCCATGGAACAACCAAGGACCAACCACGGACCAACCAAGGACCAGCCCAGGGCCGACCACGGACAAACCACGGACGAACCACGGACCAACCAAGGACCAACCACAGACCAACCATGGACCAACCACAGACCAACCATGGACCAACCACAGACCAACCAAGGACCAACCACGGAAAAACCACGGACCAACCAAGGAAGAACTAAGGACCAACCATGGACCAGCCAAGGGTTCAGCCAAGGACCAGCCCAGGACCAACCAAGGACCAACCACAGACCAACCATGGACCAACCACAGACCAACCAAGGACCAACCACGGAACAACCACGGACCAACCAAGGACCAACCAAGGACCAACCATGGACCAGCAAGGGTTCAGCCAAGGACCAGCCCAGGACCAACCAAGGACCAACCACAGACCAACCATGGACCAACCACAGACCAACCAAGGACCAACCTCCTTAGATTGATTGGCTGTGGGACCTATGAGGTGTGACGGCTCCTCTCTGAATCACTCAACCAAGGCTGAGGAGAACTGAAGGAGAGGAGATTATCCTTCCTGTGCAAATGTTCTGGTCCTGTCCGGGTCGGTCCGGTCTGGGTCAGGCCTCAGCTGCTTATGTAAAGCCTGTCACACTGTTAGATCCTGGTCCTGTTAGAAGAACCCAGGACCACAGAGGCCTGAAATGGTCAGAAACCAGTCCCCCAGTGGCTGTCCCTGTTCTCCATACCACCCTGCTACTAAGAGCAGCTGATTCCAGAACGTCTGGTTTCTGGGTCACGGACCAACCACGGACCAACCAAGGAAGAACCAAGGACCAACCATGGACCAGCCAAGGGTTTAGCCAAGGACCAGCCCAGGACCAACCAAGGACCAACCACAGACCAACCAAGGACCAACCACGGAACAACCACGGACCAACCAAAGACCAACCAAGGACCAACCAAGGACCAACCATGGACCAGCCAAGGGTTCAGCCAAGGACCAACCCAGGACCAACCAAGGACCAACCACAGACCAACCATGGACCAACCACAGACCAACCAAGAACCAACCATGGAACAACCACGGACCAACCACGGACCAAGCAAGGACCAACCATGGACCAACCAAGGACCAGCCAAGAACTGACCAAGGACCAGCCCAGGACCAGCCAAGAACCAACCAAGGACCAACCACGGACCAGCTCAGGACCAACCAAGGACCAACCACAGACCAACGAAGGACCAGCCAAGGACTAACCAAGGACCAGCCCAAGACCAACCAAGGACCGACCAAGGACCAATCACGGACCTGCCAAGGGTTTAGCCAAGGACCAGCCCAGGACCAACCACGGACCAGCTCAGGACCAACCAAGGACCAACCATGGACCAATCACGGACCAACCAAGAACCAGCCAAGAACTAACCAAGGACCAGCCCAGGACCAGCCAAGAACCAACCAAGGGTCAGCCAAGGGCCCATCAAGGAAAGTGGGGAAATTTTGAATATCTTCCAACTTTATCGAAAAATAAAAAGAGAAGAATGTGCATCTAGAATAGCTGATCTATGTGGACCAATCCCTCTAAGCGAGTTCAGCCCAGATCTAGTCAGTGGAGGCAGGTGGAGTTAATGGTGGAGCTGGACGTTCCTCGTTGGCCGGTCTAGAGTCATCTAAGCCATGACGACCAGTAACAGGCAGCTGCTGAAGATCCCAAAAAATTTAAAATCAATCCACTGGATTTTATTTCCAAGTATGAAGTCGTTTCTCTTCCATCCAGGAAGATTTTTCAATTCCAAATGTCAGAAATAGCGTTTAGTTCCAGGTTTTATCCAGCAGCCCAACAAAGCCTGGTTTTAGTTTAGAAAACATGCAAATAGAAAAGGATGAATGGGTCCACCCCTTCGGAATGGAGGTCGTTTGCCTCTTTGTTAGACTGCAATGCCCCATACCTGTCTATGTCTCTGAACAGGGGGGTCGTTAGAGGGAATTGTTGGTCTGGCTGAATAGGCGAGGTCTTCTGTTTCCCTGTAAAGGGGTTGGGGCTGCAATGATAGCGGGAAGGGATCAATTCAGTCGCTGCATTGAAGGTTTTTGAAAGCTGTAACCTGAGTCCCCCCCCCCTCAGTTTAAGGTTGTTTTTTCTCTCACAGCCCTCTCAAACTATCTGTCTTCTCTGGCTGAAAACAGGTGGTTTGAGAAGGTGTTCTGAGGCGAGAAATGTGGGCCTGGAGAACTTTTGGACCAGGTCTGAGTCTTGGACCACGTTTAGGAGGCCCGATCAGCAGGTCAGAACCAGGACTTCTGGGTCTGGGTTTGATCCCCTCACTGCTTGCTTCTAAGGAGAGAATAAGTGCATCCAGTTTCATGCTTTAGGAATGCAGTGTAGAAAGCAAACAGCTAGAAAATTAAAGCTTTTCATCGGTCTTTGATTTTGAATCTTTACTGAAAAGTCTTTAAAAAAACAACATTTAAACATAAATTCTGGAAACGGTAAAGCAGGAAATATCAGCAGTGTGTGTGCAGCTGAATGCAGTGCAGAGTGGTTAGGACATAGAGCTTGGAATCCAGAGTTTCTGAGTTCAACTCCCCTGAACTGCCACTCTGGGTCCCTGAGCAAGAACTTATCCCCATGCTGCTCCCCGGGTGCCACACAATGGCAGCCCACTGCTCCCCAAGGGGAGGGGTGGAATGCATTTCGTTACTCTGACAGTGGAATGACAATAAAAGCTGGAAATCCACAGAGAGCTGAAGGCGCCCTCTACTGACTGGCTGAGGGAACAACAGGAAGAGATTCATCTGAAATTAGAGTTTAAAGTGGAACACCCAGGGATTTTCACTCAAACACACCTGTTCACTAAGTCTATTCATTATATTTCTATAGCTCAGGCCACTTTATAGATCCAGATCAACCAGATCATTCAGTCAGATCTATTCATTTATAAGTTTCTATAAGTTTTCTATCTAAGGAAAACCAGTTGATTGCACCGATTCGTTGACTCTTCAGCAATCCCTCATGCTAAGCATGCTTGTAGCGACAGTGGAGAGGAAAAACTCCCTTTGAACAGGATGGAACCTCCATCAGAACCAGGCTCAGTGTGTTTATTGTGGGATTATTCAGCACAGAACTGAAGACCAGCAGAGACCAAAGTGTGATGGACGAACTAGTCCACATCCGGTCCTCAGTAGATCTGTTTATAAATGATTTTCTAGTCCTCCTGAGGAGACGGATGTGCAGCAAGTGCCCCAGTCCCTCCCAGTGTCTCTGGATGCCGACGCCAGGCTCGCCATCTTTGATCTGATTCCTTCAGACGTAGCGTTGGAGAGATTCAGCCAATCTCTCTGTCTTCTTCCTCTATTTCGGTCCCTGTTAGCGCAGACTTTGGTCGGTAGAAGTTCCTCCAACCTTATGCCAGCAGCTTCAGCACAGCTTTTCATTTGGCAGTGAGGTCCATGGATCTGTTCCCCACCAGAACCCGTCCATCTCTGGACCACCCGACTCGTCTCCTTCCTCAGCTAGAACCTCTGTTTGGGCTCGTCTCTATGGAAACTTCTAAGGAGGAGAAATCCTGGAAAATCTGGGATTCTTGTCATGCAGACAGAAACATGTCTGTCCTGACTGGTTCTAAGTTTAGCTCAGATGATGTGGACCTGGACCTCGGCTCCACTGAAGCTTCTCAACCATCAGGCTTTGCTGACACCAGAGGTTCCCCGGGTCCATCAGGGCGGGGTTAGCGTGACTCACCGTGATGGCTGGTCCAGCGAAGGCCAGGCTGAGCAGCATCAGCAGCGGGATGACCTCATGGTTCGGGTCGACGTAGGGCAGGCTCAAGCTGCGGTCATGGCAGTGAAACCCAGACTTCACCGGCTTGAAGACGTCCGTCCACTCCAGGAAGTAGAGACTGACCACAGAGGACACCAGGATGGGTAGCTGTGGAAACGACAGCCAGAGAAAAGTCATCAAGCGCTGATCTTTAGTCAGAATGATGGCGGCAGCTGTGATGGCCTTCCGCGTCACTGAGCATGCTCCTTAGATTGATTGGCTGTGTGACCTATGAGGTGTGACGGCTCCTCTGACTCACTCAACCAAGGCTGAGGAGAACTGAAGGAGAGGAGATTATCCTTCCTGTGCAAATGTTCTGGTCCGGTCCGGGTCGGTCCGGTCTGGGTCAGGCCTCAGCTGCTTCTGTAAAGCCTGTCACACTGATAGATCCTGGTCCTGTTAGAAGAACCCAGGACCACAGAGGCCTGAACTGGTCAGAAACCAGTCCCCCAGTGGCCGTCCCTGTTCCATATACCACCCTGCTGCTAAGAGCAGCTGATTCCAGAACGTCTGGTTTCTGGGTCCGGTTGTCATCAATTACAGAATCTAATTCCACCACCTTTGAACTTCAACCAGAACCGGTGTTCCGTCAGACCAGCGTACCCACAGTAATACGCATGCAGAAAGGTACATCAGTCTGTCATCAGCGTACAGTTTGTGACGGTTTTACAAGATAATTTATTTTAGGTTTAGGTTTTTAAGTGGGTGTTTGTCACTATTTTAGGGGTGCCAGTCAAGTATCCCTCCTGACAAGTAGGATATATATATGTTTTATAATATATATAAATAATATTAAATTATATATTAAAACCGCTGTATGATAATCTGAAAGATTAGCTGCTACATCAGCAGGTAAGATTAGCTGCTGAGTCAGGGTGTGAAGCAGCAAACACAGAAAGCCAGGATGTTTGTGTTTTACGTTAAATTCTAATACATCAGCCTAAAACTTAGTTTATCACCTCACACATAAATAAAGTAGTCTAGTAGACTTCCTTCCACTCATAGTGTCAGATGCATGCTAATGTCACATCCTGCGCATGCGTAGTGACTATGAGTAGACTGGTCTTATGGCGGAATGCTGGTCTGATGGGGGTATGCTGGTCTGATGGGGGTATGCTGGTCTGATGGGGGTATGCTGGTCTGATGGGGGTATGCTGGTTTGACACTTCTTGAACGCGACCAACGATCTACAGTAGAGCTAAACGTGACCACTGATCTACTGTAGAGCTGAATGTGACCAACGATCTACCATAGAGCTGAATGCGACCAACGATCTACAGTAGAGCTGAACGCGACCAACGATCTACAGTAGAGCTGAACACAACCAATGATCTACAGTAGAGCTGAACGCGACCAACAATCTACAGTAGAGCTGAACACAACCAACGATCTACAGTAGAGCTGAACGCGACCAACGATCTACCGTAGAGCTGAACGCGACCAACGATCTACAGTAGAGCTGAACACAACCAATGATCTACAGTAGAGCTGAACGCGACCAACGATCTACAGTAGAGCTGAACACAACCAACGATCTACAGTAGAGCTGAACGCGACAAACGATCTACCGTAGAGCTGAACGCGACCAACGATCTACAGTAGAGCTGAACGTGACCAACGATCTACAGTAGAGCTGAACGCGACCAACGATCTACCGTAGAGCTGAACGCGACCAACGATCTACAGTAGAGCTGAAAGCGACCAACAATCTACCGTAGAGCTGAACACAACCAACGATCTACAGTGGAGCTGAACGCAACCAACGATCTACCATAGAGCTGAATGCGACCAACGATCTACAGTAGAGCTGAACGCGACCAACGATCTATCGTAGAGCTGAACGCGACCAATGATCTACAGTAGAGCTGAACGTGACCAACGATCTACAGTAGAGCTGAACGCGACCAACGATTTACAGTAGAGCTGAACACGACCAACGATCTACAGTAGAGCTGAACACGACCAACGATCTACCATAGAGCTGAACGCGACCAACGATCTACCATAGAGCTGAACGCGACCAGCGATCTACAGTAGAGCTGAACGCGACCAACGATCTACAGTAGAGCTGAACGCGACCAACGATCTACAGTAGAGCTGAACACGACCAACGATCTACCATAGAGCTGAATGCGACCAACGATCTACCATAGAGCTGAACGCAACCAACGATCTACAGTAGAGCTGAACGCGACCAACGATCTACAGTAGAGCTGAACACGACCAACCATCTACAGTAGAGCTGAACGCGACCAACGATCTACAGTTGAGCTGAACACGACCAACGATCTACCATAGAGCTGAATGCGACCAACGATCTACCATAGAGCTGAACGCGACCAACGATCTACAGTAGAGCTGAACGCGACCAACGATCTACCGTAGAGCTGAACGCGACCAACGATCTACAGTAGAGTTGAACGCAACCAACGATCTACAGTAGAGCTGAACGCAACCAACGATCTACGGTAGAGCTGAACACGACCAACGATCTACGATAGAGCTAAACGCAACCAACAATCTACAGTAGAGCTGAACACGACCAACGATCTAGAGTAGAGCTGAATGTGACCAACGATCTACAGTAGAGCTGAATACGACCAACGATCTACAGTAGAGCTGAATACGACCAACGATCTACAGTAGAGCTGAATACGACCAACGATCTACAGTAGAGCTGAACGCGACCAACGATCTACAGTGGAGCTGAACGCAACCAACGATCTACAGTAGAGCTGAACGCAACCAACGATCTACAGTAGAGCTGAACGCGACCAACGATCTACAGTAGAGCTGAACACGACCAACAATCTAACTTAGAACCTGCTGAAGGTAGAACCATGTGAGGTAGAATGATCTACATTAGAACCATGTGAGGTAGAACCATGTGAGGTAGAATGATCTACTGTAGAACCATGTGAGGTAGAACCATGTGAGGTAGAACCATGTGAGGTAGAACCTGCTGAAGATAGAAGCATGTGAGGTAGAACCATGTGAGGTAGAACCTGATGAAGGTAGAAGCATGTGAGGTAGAACCTGCTGAAGGAAGAACCATGTGAGGTAGAAGTATATGAGGTAGAACCTGCTGAAGGTAGAACCATGTGAGGTAGAACCTGCTGAAGGTAGAACCATGCGAGGTAGAACCTGCTGAAGGTGGAACCATGTGAGGTAGAACCTGCTGAAGGTAGAAGCATGTGAGGTAGAACCATGTGAGGCAGAAGCATGTGAGGTAGAACCATGTGAGGTAGAACCTGATGAAGGTAGAAGCATGTGAGGTAGAACCTGCTGAAGGAAGAACCATGTGAGGTAGAAGTATATGAGGTAGAACCTGCTGAAGGTAGAACCATGTGAGGTAGAACCTGCTGAAGGTAGAACCATGTGAGGTAGAACCTGCTGAAGGTAGAACCATGCAAGGTAGAACCATGTGAGGCAGAATCATGTGAGGTAGAACCATGTGAGGTAGAACCATGTGAGGCAGAAGCATGTGAGGTAGAACCTGCTGAAGGTAGAAGCATGTGGGGTAGAACCAATTCAATTCAATTCAGTTTATTTATATAGCGCCAAATTCACAACACATGTCATCTCAAGGCACTTTACAGTTCAACCAGATCAAATTGATACAAAGTTTTCTATCTAAGGAAAACCAGTTGATTGCATTGACTCATTGACTCAAATACAATCCCCCACACTAAGCATGCTTGTAGCGACAGTGGAGAGGAAAAACTCCCTTTTAACAGGAAGAAACCTCCAGCAGAACCAGGCTCAGTGTGAGCGGCCATCTGCCGAGGCCGACTGGGGTTCAAGGAGACAGAAGCAGAGATACAAAAAGCAGCTGTAAAAGGCGGCCCCGTCCAGGAAACACACAGCCAGGCAGACGAGCTCCAAGGCAGCTCCCATGCCAGAGGACGAAGAAAGCACATCCACTCAGTCACGGTCAGAGAAACAGGACCACACTGGAAAACAGGCCGATCTCCAACATCTATAAACAAGGGTGTTGATAGAAGCAGCACAGCTGATGTTTCTTTCCAGGATGACGTCACAGCCAAACAGGAACAGACGAGGCAAAGCTACTCTGAGGAAAAGCAGAGAGAGCAGAAGGTTAGAGATTGAACTAACAGATTCTGCAGAATAGGAGAACAGAGAGAGAATGAAGCAGAATGATGAAATGGGGGTCCCTATGTCCTCCAGAAGTCTAAGCCTATAGCAGCATAACTATAGAGATAGCTCAGGATAACCTGAGCCACTCTAACTATAAGCTTTATCAAAAAGGAAAGTTTTAAGCCTAGCCTTAAAAGTAGACAGGGTGTCTGCCTCACGGACTAAAACTGGTAGTTGGTTCCACAGGAGAGGAGCCTGATAACTAAAAGATCTGCCTCCCATTCTACTTTTAGAAATTCTAGGAACCACTAGTAAACCTGCAGATTGAGAGCGAAGTGCTCTGTTAGGAACATAAGGAACAATCAGATCTCTGATATAAGATGGAGCTTGGCCATTTAAGGCTTTATATGTGAGAAGGAGGATTTTAAATTCTATTCTTGATTTAACAGGAAGCCAATGAAGAGAAGCCAGGATAGGCGAGATATGATCTCTCTTTTTAATTTTCATTAGAACTCTGGCTGCAGCATTTTGGATCAGCTGAAGGCTTTTAACTACAGTTTGTGGACTTCCTGATAGTAAAGAATTACAATAGTCCAGCCTTGAAGTAACAAATGCATGGACTAGTTTCTCAGCATCACCCCTGGACAGGATATTTCTAATTTTTGCAATGTTCCTCAGATGAAAGAAGGAAATTCTAGAAACCTCCTTGATATGGGACCTAAATGACAGGTCCTGATCAAAAACAACACCAAGATTTTTTACTTTATTATCTGAAATCAGTTTAATCCCATCCAAATGAAGTGACTGGCTAATCAGTTTCTTTTTCAGAGACTCTGGTCCAAAGACTATAACTTCTGTTTTGTCTGCATTCAGAAGCAGAAAGTTAAGAGTCATCCAGGTTTTTATGTCTTCAAGACATGCCTGTAATCTATGTAATGGGTTAGCTTCATCTGGATTTATAGACAGATATAGCTGGGTATCATCAGCATAACAGTGGAAATTAATCCCAT